AGAGAGAGAGAGAGAGAATCCGACGCGGCCAAAATCCCATTTTTGGTCGTCGCCCGTATACTATATCGTCTGCCTAGACAGATAAAGTAATTCCCTATTTTTAAAGGGAATGAAGAGAGAAGGAGGGTAAAAATGACTTTTTGATTCTCGATGATCGCGTGGTACGATATGTGCCATACATATGTATGTCTATTTATATCTATAAAAAATATTGTACAATACATCTCTATATTCATATATTCAATAAGAGATGGAGAAGAGATGGGGATTTGGAAATCAAATAGCGGAGCAAATTTTTATATACCAATATTTGAATTGGCATGATTAATATCTTTATCATTTGCTATTGTATATTACGATTAATTCCTTCAATTTCTTATGGCTGGTCAGTATTTTTAGCAATTAATTCTTACGCATTATTACTTCGTTTATTTCTGCAACCGGTTTTACATAAGATGGATAGAAATGACAAATTCGTGCCACTAATCAGGTCGAAGTTGTTAGCTTCGTTATAGCTCGCTAAATCAATTCGTTCGCGCGAGATGGTTGACTCATATGAAGTTGCGCGGCACATTTATGGACCAGAACTCGAAAAATAAACGAGGCCGTCGATGTGCAGCCAAAACGGGCCCATTATCTCGAGTGTCGCCTCTTCAAGCTTAGTTTGTATGTATTTCCAACCAGTCGGACTTATTTTCATTGTGCAATTCTGTAATTTCGATGATCGGAGGAGTAAAAGTTAAAAAAATTCTTATTCGGAAAAAATTTTTGATTTATCATAAATGATTATAAATGGTTATGTAGAAAATTTAAATTTCATAAAAAATACGTAAAACGAATATAACAAATAAAAATTTTGTTAATAAAAAATTATCTCTGAATTCAACATCAATAACGTTTGAGATGTGTGTGTGTGTGAGTTCGACAGCTTTTTGATGAAAGCATTTTTAATTCGATGCATCTCTGCGAAAATTACCGTATACAGAGCATGTTAATTACATCATCGAACTTTCTTGAATAGTCGATTCGACAGGGGCGAGGGGGAGGGGAAAAAAAAGAGGTGAATGAGCCGTCGCGAACCGGCGAGAGATTAAGGTCGATCCACGAAGCCGAGCAAGTCACGAACGTAGAAAGGTACGACGACCTTCGAAAAGGGTCAACGCACCCGCCGCCAAGCGTAGTAAACGGAAGTGGAGTCACGAATTTCGGAGCGGAACGACCGTGAAATGATACGCGGGTGGGCGGGGGGTTCAACGCGCCCTCGGGGACACACTGTCGCGGTTTAGACAATGTTTATTCACTCGAAATCCCAGCGAAGAGACGACAGGACCGTTTCTGTATACACATGTACACGCACTTGGCAGTGGACTCGCCACTGGAAATTCAAGGGGTTATTGCGAAATGAGGCATGCTCATATTGGATAAGACACGAACCGTCGATGAAGCCGATCGAATATCGTATCGAATTGTGCGCACCACAATTGCTGGCGTCTTGGAATTTTCGTTGAAAGAAGCTAGCTTCTCGAACGATCTGCAATTGAAGCTAAACTCATGAATTATGAAACACCGTCCGTACAAGGTGGCTTTGGAAACAAAGTATTCAAAAAGAGAAAGTATTTCGAAAAAAGAAAAAAGAAATTGTCGAGAGAAATGAGTCATTGTATGTTGAAAATTGATGTTATTTGAATAATATGTTGATCTTCTGACTTTTACTGCTCTCTTACGGTCATTTTATAAATACATCGTGAGGTTCTTCGAAATATCATTGTGTGTTCGGTTTAATGGCTAGATAACAAAGGTGACAATTTCGGAGTCTGATTAGGGTCCTCGTTTTCGTGTCTCGCGATCTCGGAGACGGATTTCTTCGTTTTATTTGAGAGAGCTCTTTGTGAGGCGAGGTCGTCGAACGAAGTCTCGAACGAAGTCTCGCGAATGATTCACCTGCTGCTGGAGAATTTTAAAAGTATCATTGTCGTCGGTGCCTTTTTGTTCGTCAGAAACAAATAGCGAATGATTGTTCGCGATCTTTCGCAAATGGCAATTGTTATCGCGAGCGATAATACAATCTTTGTCAGATATCGTACACTTGACTTCGTTATGCGTTTGTCGCATCGTAAGGAAATATAACAAAAGCAATATTCTAACCGTACGTTTCCGTTTAAAGGTACTTAGGAATTTCAACGCTTTCCTAAATGTTATGTTACACTCCGTAGTCGTTGGAGAAACGCATTCGGAAAAGCGCATAAAGTCCGAAACAATGGCGCGCGGTATCGATTCAATTTTGTTTTATCGACTGCGACCTCTCTTACAAATGAAAAATAGAATCACGGTCCGGTACACGATCGAATAAATTAGTTTGTCGAGCGAGATAGAGAGAGAATGAAAGGAGAGAAAGAGATTCCTCTCGAGTCCTGAATATTTCAATCCGCGGTGAATTTCATCCATCAAACATTTTAAACGGCATTAGTACGAATTTAAATACGGCACGCGATTATTCGTCTATATTTTTACGCGAGTGTTTCTTGTGATGTAAATATTATGAAGATATACTTTGGAATAATCACGCATTAAGAATAATTAATTAAAAATTCAGACATGTAAAAAGAGACCAAACCGAGATATAATGAAGAAAAATATATACAAAAGAGCAGAATATACAAATGCATCGAGAATATATTAATATTTCTCAAACAACGAAAATGCTTCTACATTTTATTCGTGGGATTCTACATTCGTGTACTTGTTTTATTCCATTTTATATATATAATAGTCGGTAGAAAAATACTTTGCTCCAAATTCGACAAAGTATTCGCAACAGAAAGAAAGTATGCAATTTTTGGGATATCCTGTATTTCAAAAGATAACAGATGTTCCGCGGGAGGGTTCCGCTCTCGAAAACTGGCCCAAACGCAATGTCCGGCCACGTGACGAGTGCGATACCGCATCCCAAGAGCCAGACGGTCAATGGGCCATTTTTATGCGTGCAGGATGTTGCAAGCTAAAAGAGAGAAACTTCTATCTTGAACCAATTCCAATAATTAAATAATGAAATATAATAACTCGATGACCCGGTCTCGTGTTGAAATTCGATAAAGAAATATCCATTTCAAATCGAACATCGACGAACTGTATCGTCGAAGCTTTCGTGAAAAAAAAAACTACTTTCTCTATAATTTCGTTTTGTTATAACGCGAGAATTATGAGCGTGATATTTTCGCCTTCGAGTTTGGAAAAAAATTGCTTTCAAGCCTCATAAAAAGTGATATATCCATTCTCCACCTTTTTTGGAACGCCCTTTACGGCACGGCGAAGGGGAGGGGGGGATCTTCCGACCGTCAATTTAACACCTGGCGCGTATCGTTCTCGCTTTCGAAAATTGCGGTCTCTACGTCGTGCAAACTTTGCAGATTCAGGGAAGCTCGTCGCATCATCGGATGCGTCGCGCTACTGCGCGTTGAAAAGACGCACGTAGCTGCAATTTGCGAATAGTCGTCGACCGAATGCCGCATAATTACGATGTTTCCTGAGGAAAGCTCGCGTGCAAAGCGCGTTGTTGCAACATTGCAACGCGTCCATCTCACGACAAAGCAATGTTTCAAAGGAAAATTGGCGCGATAAAAATATGTTTCCCGTTGCTAAAAGCAAAAATAATATAAAGGAAGATTAAAGGGTTCGGACAATAACAGGTTTCGCGAAGAAAACAATGCATGCACTATCTCTCCCGCGATGTGTTGCAGTTCAGAAAAAAGAGACCGGAATGCAAAGAAATTTCAAATAAAATTATAAGCTTCAAATTTATCGCAAATCAATCCTTGTTAATCGTTCAACATTCCGATTGTAGTTTTAAAAGATTTACAATTCTAATATTTACAAAAATATTTTCCGATTTCTTAAAGAGATTTTTAAATTGCCAAAATACGATATTTCTGTAGAAATGTTAAGCGGCAAAAAACAGCGTTTCGCGGAAGGCCTTTGAATACTAAGAGCGCGCGCTGCACTTTGCCGGTGCGGCATTCTTCTACATTTCGGGTTCGAGGTCGTTCCTCTCGCTGATCTCGCTCATTATGTCCTGGCCCGCCGAA